TATTCATACTCACAGATTAGCCGGACTATTTTTTTACGTAACTTCAGTATACTTCTCATTAGTAAAGCTATTTTTATCACTGAGAAAAAAAGGGCCGTGCATTCGTAAGCTTTAATGCATTTTGCGCCTCAACCCATCCGAAAACCCTCCCTAAAAATATATGTATTTTGCTTAGAATTACTAACCCTAAAATTCTATCCATGTTATCTGACTGGGAAAATAAGAACCGAAAATCGTCACTGCCTCCTAGACTATTATATCATCAAAAGACGCATCATTATTTTGAATTTGTATTGTGTTGAAAAGGAATTTTTTTAAAAACCAATCAGGATATGAATTCTTTTTCAAAATATTAAATAATTTTTTGATATTCTTTTGAAAGAAAGAAGGGTGACATATTTTGAAAATTCTATTTTTTAATCTAAGAACGAAATTTATTTTCATTTTTTGATGGTGATATGAGTGAAAATTGATGTATCTTCCCGAATAAGTCGGTTTTGTGTACCAGTCAGTTATAATGTTATTGTTATTAGATCTTATCAATAATGTGTCAAGAAATGGGACACTTTGATCTTTTTCTTTTTCTATTGTGAATTGAATATTTGAATTATATTGATTGAATATTGTTAAAATTTCATTTTGCTTTTGTGAAAAACTAGTTTTACTTATGCCAAGACTGCATCCCAAGAATCATCTCACCTATATACAGGGTGTCCCATAAGTCACGGTCCAAACTGAACGGGGTGATTCTTTGGTTTATTTTATGACTAACATTTTTAATAAACATATGTTCGCAACCGCTTCGTTACCGATCTACAGGGTGTTGAAATTTCAATATTTTTTTTTAGTTTTTTATTTATAGCTCCTGCAATTTTTGAGGGATTTAGCTGAAATTTGGTATACCTATAGGTCATGCAATAGGAGCTAAATGATTTCACATTTCAAACGTTTGCCAGAATTTACAGGGTGATGTTTTTCCACGAGTCATATGCCATTTTCTGTCCCTGAACTTTTTTGCAGTGCGCCGCTGGTAGATTCTATAAAACTAAATGGTTTTTCTACCTTATTTAGAAACTCTTTGTTCTCCTGTAGTTTTTTCGAATTACCGACCCTTATCGAGAAAAAAATTAAAAAACAAATATTTGTAATTAGCTAGATGAAACTACAGAGACTCAATATAACTTTTCTACCTACAGTGGCGAAAATAGAGGTCCCGGCGCCATATTCTTGATCATTTCCAGTAGGAATCTAGAAGTAAGCCACGCCGGTGCCGCCATATTCTTTCTCATTTTCCATATGAATACATTAAAATTTCACCACCCTGTAGATCGGTAACGGAGCGTTTGCAGACCTATGTTTATTTGAAATTTTAGTCATAAAATAATCCAAAGAATCACCTCTTTCAGTTTGGACCGTGACTTATGGGACACTCTGTATATAGGTAAGTATATACTTTATGAAATTTTCTTGGGCATAGGTTCAAATAATGTTCGGAATATCAGTCAGATTCCATAAGGTAGTTATTTATTTTAAACGTTTCGGTCACTTTCGACCTTCATCAGTAAAACATAAAAGGAAAAGCTTCCTATTTTTTTTGGTTTGCGAATTTGAGGTTTAACTTTGCTGTAGTTTTCATTTCGTTCACAGCATCGAGTCCAAAGGTAGTTTCAATTTGGTGGTAGTTTAGCAGAATTTCACCCATACTGCAGTGTATATTGTTATTAAAACTTCTAAACGCATAATCTAACATTATGCCACCCAAAATAACCACATCGAATTCCATTGGTCAGGTTTCCAAGCCAGGCGCGGCTCGTGAGTTTTTTTACAGGTGGGTCAAATTAAGCGGGACAGTACCGCAGGCTAAAATAGCGCCTTAGGCGAAAAATTTTTGGTACTAAACTAAATTTTTTGGCTTTAGTAGGAATTTAAATTTGAATATTTAAATTTCGCGCTCATTTATGGTCATTTTGAAACTTGACAAATGATGACGTAGATGTTGGGTAATATCCTTGCTAGATGTTGGGTAATATCCTTGCTACTAATTTCAGGTTATGTCTTTATGCCTACGTCAAGTAGAAAACAACAGGTTATAGTTGGGGAGCTGGCGTCAAAAACATGCAAGAGTTTTCGCAAGGCGGATATTTTCAAAATAGGTCGTACTTTAGTGCTAGAATGCTAGTATACAGTCAGCACTCACAGTTCCGGGACAGCTGGCTCTGGGACGCGGGCAAAGTTGTAATTTTAAGAAGCATCTAAACTGTTTTCTCAAAGCTCAAAATTTATAGAAATTTTGCACATTATCTGTTTGAAGGTCACAGATAACGTATGTAAATCGTCAGACGTCTAGTTCGTTGCAAAAAGGGGGTCAGACATCCTCAAAGTTCTTATTTTATGGCATTTTCTTCAAATATATTTGTCAAATACCTGCAAAAATATATTTTGACAGGACACCGAAGAAAATGCCATAAAATAAGAACTTGGAGGACGTCTGACCCCCTTTTTGCAACGAATTAGACGTCTGACGATTTACATACGTTATCTGTGGCCTTCAAACAGATAATGTGCAAAATTTCTATAAATTTTGAGCTTTGAGAAAACAGTTTAGATGCTTCTTAAAATTACAACTTTGCCCGCGTCCCAGAGCCAGCTGTCCCGGAACTGTGAGTGCAGACTGTACACTAGCATTCTAGCACTAAAGTACGACCTATTTTGAAAATATCCGCCTTGCGAAAACTCTTGCATGTTTTTGGCGCCACCTCCTGGACTATTAGAAACCTTTTTAGAATTCGTGCGACGTGCAATAAGTTAGTAATTATTTAATTAATAGAGAAAATACAACAACAATTTAGTTAATTTGACCCATCCCCACATTTTAAATAGAAAAATAACTTACTTTGGGTTGGTCTAATGCTTATTGTTTAAGTTGAGTGAGTCCCAAATTTAGACACGTTTGAACAAAAAATCAATTCTCATATCCTTCTGATGAGCAAAGTGGTCAATGACTAGTTCATTGAAGTTCCCAATTTTTTTGATAAATGCCTTCTCAATACTGAGTATACCCAATGCACTCAACCTAGACTCTTTCGTGGTTTGGCATAAATCAAGCTTTGCTTTTGGACGACCACTTTTCTTTAATTCCAAAAGTCAATCCCCCACTGGAAATTAAAGATATTATTTCTTAAACACGGGAACCCATTTTTGTGAAGCGATTAAAGAAAGATTCAGGGACAGATTACTCAAAAAATTAAATCAAAACAAAAACAATCGAGTGACAATGACAATTCAGTAATTGTTTTAAGAAAAATAACTCTGGACACCCCAACACTCTAGGCCTTTTGTTTTTCATCTTTCTTCAATAAACGCGATTGAAAAACGACAATAAAATCGTCGAATTCTGAGCGCTCTTGTTCCATTCCGATAAATACCTATATCTATCGATCGAGGATCTGGCGCCGTTGCCGGCCGTCGTCATGATGGAACATATGGAAGCAAATGTGCCTCTTTATCTTACTCATTTACGCCCGTTATGTTTCTCTCTCTCTGATTCCTATTGCATTCGCCTATGATAATTTCAAAGCTATAAGCCCAATTTTGAATACGGCCGAGCGCAGCTAGGCCTGTATTTTTTAATTTTAAAAGGCGATTTCTGTATTCTGCTGAGCGTGATGTTGGTTAATTTAAAACGTAATATTCAAGATGTTTAATTGAAAATTTATTGTTTGAATTTTTGGTGGGTCATGGCCGAATGACCTTACAGAGGAGCCGCGCCTGTTCCAGGCTATGGCGCTAGATTGGGTGACAGAATGTTTTGATGCGTACCGGACGCATGGAGGTAAGTAACATCCTGTTTAGCATTCGGCAATCCGTTCGACAACGGTTCGGTTTTTTAAATGTAACACCCGTGGTTGCATGGATGTGCGTTTTATTGAGTGTTACTTACCCTCGGTATTAGATAAGCCTATTTACTATTACCATCTTGTAAATAATTATTTAAGGGTATTTAAATTTTAAAACATGAGTATATAAGTGCAAAAGATAATTATTATTGTTATATTATTCTAAATTATACTATGCGTTCGTAATTTAGCAGATAAAAACAATAAAAGAGATTTCTCGAAAAACCTCGGAAACTAATAATTTTAATTTAGGAGAACCTCTTTTTCACTATTTGTATAGTTGTGGAACATCGAAAAATCCAAAAAGAAGGCCACGTTTCACATTTTTAAATAACACACTGTATATGACCTTTTTTTATTTGTTTTTTTTTTTTTGTGAAATAACAAGGAATTTATTAATATATAGGGTAAGCTCAAAAAACCGGAATTTTGTTTTTGAGCTGTAATTTTTTTGTTGCTGACCAATTTCCTATTGTATGTAGATATAGACTACAAAAGATTCAGAACAATTGTGTACGATAGGTAGGTATATACTGAACCACAGATTGAACATAAATAGACGAGAACATGTTACTCCTTACATTACTATAACAGTGAAATGCTCAAGATGAAAGAAAGAAGATTTTTACATTTTGCTGTTTTGATACAAAATATTATTTAGAGCTCAGAATATCTCTCCGGTGAGGCTTGGTGACATTCATACCAGGTCAACAAGGAACAGATAGTTTCGAATTACATTGTACTGAATTTTTTTAATCTTCTTTCTCTCATTTGGGCCTACATGTGTACATGATACCAAAAAAGTAGGGCCTATAAAGTTTGAAACATAAAAAACTAATAATATTATATCCATACTATGTATCTTATAAAGGCATTACTGTTAAACATTATGTGAATGCAAATCTGTCCAGGGTAAGTAACACCCGATAAAGAAACTCTCCGTTGCGATATCGGGTGTTACATTCAAATTTGCGAACGTGAGCCAAATGGGTGTTACTTACCTCCATGCGTACGGGACCTGATTAGGTAGTGAACTAGTGTGTTTAGCTTTTTTCGAAAATATTGAAAAAGCCTTCTATAATAATATTTTCCCACTATTTTTAGTCCATGAACGAATCCCAACTGAACCAAATCTATCTGAGAGGATATTTACACAATAACATAAATAATATAACAGATGGGCTTTTCAAGGCAACGAAAGGAAATTATGGATTTTTTGCCACTGGTCATGTTGCAAGAAAGCAATTTTGGAAGATCAGCGGATATAAGTGCAAATATGAAATAATGGAAATCCCGATTCATTCTACGATAAATACTGTTGCATTTCCTATGTCACTCACCTCACCCTATAGGAAAGCAATTAACCTGGGGTAGGTTTCTGTACAATTTAAACCTAATCTAAATTCAATGAGACTTCGGACAGCACAGGGCTTAAGTTTTTATTCGAAATAATTTTCAAACATATAGTATAGTTGCAATTTTCGGCAGACAAACTTCATCTTCTCAAAAAGTTAGCTAAGTTTTTGTGTATCCACAACGGTGTAATGTTATTCTATGAGACGTATCAAAAACCTTCTTCGATATTGTGGCGGTGTTGAGAGATATTCGAGGTTAACGGCGGCTAGTCACTACGTGATACTTGCCAAATTGCCAAGTTTCGAGTAATGTGTATGGAAGACCTGCCCCTGCTTAAGTCGAGACATGATTTGATTGTTTTGTTTGTGGTTGAAATGGAGTGGAGTTCTGGAAGGGTTTTGCTTTTTCTGCATATCTATGCAAAGTATTCTGTTATTTGGGAAGCTACTCATGTCTTGCTTTGCGCAAAAATATAATCGAAGTCCATGATGCCTGGAAATGTGTTCAAGCCGAATTTTCTGAAGAAATTCCTATTCCGAATTTAAAAAAAAATCGTAAATGGCAATATTTAGAAACTGTTTAGAATTTTTTTTTATTTTTTAATAAAAGTTTACCACAACACATGACAAATGCTGCAGTCTGAATACGATTATCACTCGGACTCCATGAATATTTTGTAACGAACTTCCTGGAATTTTCGTTACTAATTAAATTGCGATTCAAATTTATATTGATTATTGCGTGACGCTTGACCTTGTCGGTAAAGCGTCAAGCAATAATCAATATAAATTTGAATCGCTATTTAATTAGTAACGAAAATTCCAGGAAGTTCGTTACAATTTAATCCACCAACCCATTCAATCACAAGCTTGCGTTCACGACGACTTGAACTTCCCAAATTCCATACAGCATTGGCTACCCGGCACAGTGTGTACAGTTTACTTTCCCCTCGGTATTATTAGTAAGCTATCTTTGTTTAGTGAATGGAAAATGGTAATGACCGACATATAATGGCGGATCCATCGGTAAAATTTGTTGAGAAAAAAAACTCAGGGAACCACATGTACAAAAACTTGCCAAACTACAATCAAGTCAAGTTACTTGACAAGCATCACGTAGTGAGTAGCCTTAATACAGTGAGCTTTTTTTTCCATTGCTCAAGTAATTGTTTTCAAGCAATGAGAAGAGAATATCCTTATCTCATTACTCCACTATTTAAGAGCCAATCGGAAACAAAATTCGGCAACTTGGACAACATACTTCAACCTTCAAATTTGTCATTTTGACAGCTGATTTGGACAAGACTTGTGCTAATCTAATGTCACTTAAAAAAGAAAATTTAATAAAAAACCGCATAACTCGTGTCTATTATCTATTATTCATAGAAAAAGTATAGTATTCTTCTCCGGACGCCAAAAAGTTTCACGGTCATGGTATGCACACTATTCTTTGTGCAACTATGTAACTTATATGAAGTTACAGAAAAACTGTATGGATTTGACACATTTTGCGCAGACGGTTGCACAAAATAGTGATTTTTGTGCAACAGTCCGCGAAATGAGGTTTCGCGGCCGCTTCACTGAGGTGCAAAATGTGTCAAATCCTTGTCAAATCCATACAGTTTTTCTGTAACTTTACATAATTTTTATAGTTGCAAAAAAAATTCTGCGTATACCATGACCGCGAAACTTTTCAGCGTCCTCGAGAATATCTTGCCTCGAGGCGATAACTTTTCTCTACGTACGCTAGAAACGCGTTTCGCGGTGCAAATATCGATCATTTGAAGCCAAAATTGCATTTACAATCAAAGGCAGGTGAATTTTAATTTTGTTTGGTTTCCTGTCAAGTATTTGTTACCTGTGTCAATGCGCGAAATAGGCATTTCGCACACTAGAGAATCATTTCACGCACGGCGTCATGGGGACGTTAAAAAAAATCTACCTGGAAAAAAAGTGACACTTCGCAAATTGTCACCAGTGTTTAAACATCATCTTTTTTTGACAATTGTAGAAAAAAGTATTTTCATTACGCATGCTTCATATAATCAACGATTATCGCACGCTGCAGTGTGCATAAAATTATGTTTATCGCATTTTTGATAGTAATGTGACATTCAAAATTGAGTGGTAGAGTGCCACTTTACTCCATAACAACACTTTACTATATAGCAATCATTACCAGTTCTTTTTGATATTTCCCCTTATAAACTTGGTGCTTAATATACTATTATGATGCGCCTACCTATTCAAAGGTTTGCTATGGGAACGTTTGATCTACCTTTATTACCTAGATATTTACCTGCCGTTCAAATTACTATTTATAAAAATGAATGAACGGGTACACGTAATTTGGTACCCAAGAAAATGAGGGTTAGAAAAAAATATGTAACTTGGTACCCGCAACTTTTCGTTTACCTGATTTTTATGTGTAAATTGGTTCCCACTACCTGAAGTTCTTAAGGTGGATTACAATATTTTAAACATACATTTTCATCAAACAAACATATCTAATAAAGATTCTTTGGGTACTTTAGTGTTATGTATTTTAGCTGGAACATGTAACACCTAGTAATTTAATGTACTGGGTGTTTTTTTATCTTTGATATCATTTTGATCACCTGTAAGTTTTTTGTTATTGACGTTATCAAGGTAATCAAAAAAACAAAATGTAGGTTAGTACCTAGCCAAGTTTTTTTTCAAGTTACACATAAAACAAATCACTATCAATTTTTTGATATATAGGCCTACATTATATTTTTTTAAATGGAATACCCTGTATATTATATGCGTGTTCGATAGAATATTTTATTCTGATTACAATGATATAACACACTTCATATTTTGGTCCACTCGTTTTTGACAAATCGGCAAAAATATAAAGTGAAACTTATTAGGCAGGGGTCTGATATTTGGGACGAGAAATATTGAGACTATTGAGAGTGTATGTAAAAATTTCATATTTTTTTGTTGATTTGTCAAAAACGAGTGGACTAAAATATGGAGTGTATTATATCATTATAATCAGAATAAGATATTCTTTCGAACGTACATATAATATATAGGGTGTTCCATTTAAAAAAATATAATGTAATTTTATATGTCAAAAAATTGAAAGTATTTTGTTTCATGTGTAACTTGAAAAATCTTGGCTACTAACCCTACATTTTGTTTTTTTGTTTACCTTGATAACTTCAAAAACAAAAAAGTTACAGGTGATCAAAATGATATCAAAGATAAAAAAACACCCGGTAAGTCGTGAGCACAAGGAGTGGGACACCCGTTTTTTCCTATTGTAGAACGGGCTCACCAGCTATACCTACGACAATGACAGGGATTGTCATATTTGACAAAAAATCGATTGTAGAGAAAAGACTGATTTACGCAAAATAGCGAAAAATTACAAGTCCTGTCAGTCGGGTATCCCACATTTTGTGCTCATGACTGTACGTTTCCGTTTGAAATTCCTTGAGTTTTTCCAAAAAAAATTAAGATATTGGGGTGAGCTTTATAAAAGAATGAATTAAAATGTTTATGAAAATATTCACTGGTGGTGGTAGTGCGTGTAAGGTCAGCTGAATTGTGAGCCCAAAGCAAAGGTGGAAAAAGACAGCGTTTTCTGATACATAGGTATCTGTCAAATAATCCGAATATTTCTACATATTTTAATATTTTCGTTTTCTGGTGCTATTGCGAGCAAGTCAAAAACAAGAACAAAGCATTCGCCAACATCAGAAGGATTTAAAAAAGTCACCCCAAAAGTCATTCGCAGCCATCTATCAACCTCAGAGTTTACGGTACAAGACCGTATTCCTGAATCTTTCTATACCTGGACTGGGAAAGATGAAACCGGCATCCAATTATTTTTGCCAAAGGAAAACTTTGTCCGACAGCGTTATGAATTGCTTTTTCGAAATCAATAACAATTTTTCAAAGTCTTAAGTCTATACCTACCAATATCGTCACACATCTTTATTATTAAATTAAATAGTTTTTCATAGGTTTCTGTGCGTTTATCCGGTAACAACGAGAAAATTAATGAAATATAATGTCCGTTAAAATATCCATGTAATGGAAAAAATTGATATTTATAGTTATCAATAACCAATAACTGATTTCCACGTATACTTGGAATTATTTCGGGACTCATAATAGAAAATATTATTGGCAATTGACGAACTTCAAACACTAGCGGTAACAACATATAAACTAACTACACGCATATCCCACCCCCAGGTACACTCAACCAAATAGCATAAATAAAAAGAAGTTGTTGTTTGATTTAATGAACAATTCATTAAAATCGGTCCAAAGAACTGCTTCTTTGATCACATGAACTCTACGTTATTAAAGGAAGAACAATTTCTTAATTCCTAGTTCGCTTCATCTTGTGTATGAACCACGAACATTGAAGTATGTGGCAAGATTTTTGTATTAATGAAACTTTCCATAGTAACAAGGAACATCGTTCTTAGTTTATATGTACTTTTTCATTGGCCTGATGAACAGACGGCATAATATTTATGAAGCCCAGATATAATTCGATGAAACCCTTTCATTGTATTTATGAATCAAAGTCTTGAATACTAAGAATTTCATTCATTGTATTTATTAATGCCGTTTTCAATAATATGTACCCTATTCTTTATTTTTATTGAATTATGCCTTAAATATACTTATGATTTTAAATGGGGCACAGGGTCATTTTTTATATTTGCGTGACCCCTGTACTGGTGAATATGAGCAATAGGAAAAAAGCTTCTAATGCAGAAGTTGTATGATTTCTTCGTATCATCTTCCAGAATTATCAAACAAACCAATATGAGCATCCCAAAATCTGAAAATTCAAAAATCTAAGTACTTATGTATTTTTATTTCAAATGACACTTACTGTATACAGGGTGGTCCTTCGGGAATGACATCGATTGCTTATGGGAAAACTGTGAAAGGTAAAAATTTGAAAATTTGGCAACATAGCAATGTCGATGGGGGACATCTAGGTAAAATATTTTCAAGAT